TTGAGGTCAGAAGTTTGAGACCAGCCTGGCTAACCTAGTGAAACCCCCATCTCTACTAAAAATAGAAAACTTGGCTGGGCATGGTGGTGGACACCTATAATCCCAGCTACTCAGAAGGCTGAGGTAGGAGAATCACTTAAACTCGGGAGGTGGAAGTTGCAGTGAGCTGAGATCGTGCCACTGCACTCCAGCCTGGGTAACAGAGTGAGACTCCATCTCAAAAAAAAAAAAAAAAAAAAAAAAAGAAGTTATACCCCTAGCCTACGACCTAATAGGCACTCACTTGATACAGTGAAATCCACTACCCCAAAGCCCTGCCCCTTCCGTACCTGTTTTTGGTTTCACTGAGCCTCATTCTCATCCCCAAGCCTATCTCTCACTCTCGTGTGTCTTAGTTTTTCTGTCATCCTTGAATGCCCTTTTCCCTTGAATACTAATTTATTCATCGTATTCTGACTTACATGTTACAGTATTTACTTCCTCCAGTCTGTCATAGTAGTCATATACATCTTGCTATTTAGCAAATAGCATGATGTATTTTATTTTATTTTTTAATTAAAAAAAATTTTTTGAGACAGGGTGTCATTCTGTCACCCAGGCTGGAGTGCAGTGGCACAATCATAGCTCGCTACACCTCGACCTACTGGGCTCAAGCAATCCTCCCAACTCGTCCTCTCCAAGTAGGTGGGACCATAGGTACTGGTCACCACACCCGGCTAATTTTTTTTTTTTAAGAGATGGAGGTCTCACTATGTTGCCCAGGCTGGTCTTGAGCTCTTGGAATCAAGTGATCCTCCCGCCTTGGCCTCCTAAAGTGCTGGGATTACAGATGTGAGCCGCCACATCCAAAGCATGATGTATTTTAATCTTTTTAAATTAATTTTAAAAATAGAGACAGGGTTTCACCGTGTTGCCCAGACTGGTCTTGAACTCCTGAACTCAAGTGATCTGCCTGTCTTGGCCTCCTAAAGTGCTAGGATTACAGTCATACACCATCACACCTGGCCACAGCATGATTTATTTTAAAGGTAAGTTTTCCTGTCTCTCTCACTAGACTTTAAACTTCTTGTGGGCAAGAAAAAATATTCCATTATGTAATGGGGACTTAGTAAGCGTTAGCTAAACGAGTCTGTCTGCAATTCTGCATAGTGGCTTGGGTGGTGGTCACACACATGGATGGGCACAGGGAGTGGATTTGCCTTAACCCTATGTTTTCCCATACCCGAGAACCCCTACACGCTCTGCCTGACTTCAGTCCAAAAAGAGGACAGAGGTCACTTCCTGATGAGGCCCCAGGATGCTCAGATCTACCCTCAGAGAGTGCCCAATCAAAAAAGAACCCTGGACGGTGATTACTCTATATCCTCCATCCACTCTCCTTCCTCTCAGCACTCCGCTGTCTGACCCTGCCATTGCCGGCTTCTCAGCCCAGGCAGGCTGCAAGAATGGTCTGTCTGTGGAAAATGTATATGATGTTAGATCAGTGGAGGGAGGAGGGGCATATTTTGTTATGAGTAACTGGAAAACAAAATTGGGAATAATTGTTTCTGGGATGTGATATTATGAATGACTTATTTTATTCTGCAGAATAAGTTGTACTGTCTAAATTTTCTATGAAGAGAATGTTTGACTTGTAGACTTGAAAATAAAGGCCAGGGCATGGGAGCTCACGCCTGTAATCCCAGCACTTTGGGAGGCCAAGACGGGCAGATTACTTGAGGTCAGGAGTTCAAGACCAGCCCGATCAACAGGATGAAACCCCATCTCTACCAAAAAACACAAAAAATTAGCTGGGCGTGGTGGCCTGCACCTATAGTGCCAGCTACTCGGAAAGCTGAGGCACAAGAATTGCTTGAGCCTGGGAGGCAGAGGTTGCAGTGAGCTTAGTTTGCACCACTGCACTACAGCCTGGGTGACACAGTGAGACCCTGTCTCAAAAAAAAAAGAAGGAAAGGGAAGGGAAGGGAGGGGAGGGGAGGAGAAGAGAGGGGAAGGGAGGGGAGAGGAGGAGAAGAGAGGGGAGGGGAGGGGAGGGGAGGGAAGGAAAGGGAAGGGAACGGAAGGGAAGTGAAGCCAGGCACGGTGGATAACGCCTGCAATCTCAGCATTTTGGGAGTTTGAGGTGGGGAGATAACTTGAGCCCAGGAATTCAAGATCAGCCTGTGCAACATGGTGACACTCTGTCTCTACAAAATATACAAAAATTAGCTGGGTGTGGTGGTACACGTCTGTAGTCCTAGCTACTTGGAAGGCTGAGATGGGAGCCATAATTGTGCCACTGCACTCCAGTCTGGGTGACAGAGACCATGTCTCAAATTAAAAAACAGAAATGTGGGGCCTTGATATTGTGAGATGACTGAAACAACCAGGAAAAACCTGAGCAGTTGGCTGGGTAAGACTTGGGAAGGGAGTCAGTAGGTGCCATCCATATCTGCCCCTGGCTGTGGTTTAGCACTTCCTATTAGCGATTGTCCCCTCTACTTTAAACATTCATGAAGACGATTCTGGGAAATGTGGCTGGGTGGGTCTCCTCTCCTCTCCCCTCCTCTCCCCTCCCCTCCCCCTCCTTTCCTTTCAGATGAGGTCTCGCTCTGTCACCCAGGCTGGAGTGCAGTGGTACAATCATGGCTCACTGCAGCCTTGACCACCCACACTAAAGCAGTCCACCCACCTCAGCTTCCCAAGTAGCTAGGGCCACAGGTGCGTATCATCATGTCTGGTTAATTTTAAAAATTATTTGTAGAGGTCTCGCTATGTTGCACAGACTGGTCTTGAACTCTCAGGCTCAAGCAATCCTCCTGCCTCGGTCTCCCAAAGTGCTGGGATTACAGACGGGAGCCACCACATCTGGCCCTGGCTGGGTTTGAACAGTAGCAATTCACAGAATCTTCCAATTGGCTGAGTCTTATATTGTCAACAAAGTTTCCAGACCCTGGGGACTCTTGGGGGACACCCAGACTTTCTGTTCATGCTTCCTCTGAGGAGAGGTGGGCAGATGTTTTTGGAAGGGGCAGTCAGAGTCAATCACCTCATATTTGAATTTGTGTAATGAGGAAGACTCATTATCTTAGGACCTGTGGCAACTACAACGGTGTGTGACTCAGATCTTCCTTTAAGAACGAAGTTGCTGCTCGGTTGCAAGCTGTGCAGTTAGCCAATAGCCTCTATTTGTTACAGCGTCTTCAGGATCTGTCTCAGCGTTTGAGTTGAGGTCATGCTTTTCTTGGGCATCCCGCAGCCAATGACCAAGCATGGTAGGGATACTAGGGCCTGGCTGTTTTTGCCTAATGTGGGGCTTTTCTAATGAGTAATCTTTGTTCCAGAGCTTTCCAGAGGGTCATCCAAGACATTCTCAGATCCACTTCACAGTCTGAGGCTCTTCCTACACAATCCTGCTTCTTCCCCTCTTTCATTTTTTATAGGCATAATTATCCCGAACAAACTTCTTGCACTCCTAACTCCAGCTCAGTAGATCCTACTGACAGAATTTTGTACCTGCATATGTGTGTGTGTGTGTGTGTGTGTGTGTGTGTGTGTTGTGTATGTGTTTGGTAAAAGACTCATGAATATGATTAACACCTAAGCCATCCATGGAGCACTGAAGGATCTACTAATTTAGCTAACATGTACAAAAACCTACTTTTACAGGGCCATTGTTCCTATTCTCAACAAAGCCAAGTCTAATGAGGGAGACAGAGAAGAAAATAGATTAGCAAAATATATTATGGTATCTTACTGTTTACATGCATGCTTCTAATTATTATTATTGTTATTATTGTTATTATTGAGATGGAGTCTTACTCTGTTGCTCGGGCTTAAGTGCGGTGGGGTGATCTTGGCTCACCACAACCTCCACCTCCTGGGTTGAGGGGATTCTCCTGCCTCAGCCTCCCGAGTAGCTGGGACTACAGGCATGTGTCAACATGCCCCACTAATTTTTGTATTTTTAGTAGAGACGGGGTTTCACTATGTTGCCCAGGCTGGTCTCGAACTCCTGACCTCATGATCCACCCACCTCGGCCTCCCAAAGTGCTAGGATTACAGGCATGAGCCACCGTGCTTGGCCAGCACTTCTAATTCTTTAAGTAAATGGAAACCTCTATGAGTTCTTAGTGTTCTCAGCCTACTGTTTTCTTTAGCGGGTTGAACATTCCTCTGGCAATCTTGTTTATTATTTTGCTTTGCAAAGCATTTTGCTGCTCACACAACATAGTTACACTCAAATGCACATCAGTTGGGAAATTCTAACAAAATCTCAATCAGAGATTTGAAATAATAAGTCCCTGAATAACAGCGTTGATTATATTGTCCTCAGTATTTCAGTTTCTGGTGCTTTTGTTGTTTTTGGCCCTCAAATGACTGATGATCAGCAGATCTGATAATGACAGTGATGACTGAAGTCCAGAAATAATAAGGCATAAGCCATAGTCATATTAAAGCCAGATAATAATAATAATAATAAGCCTCTACCCATACATTAAAGCCTTAGTCCACTCATTGTACCTGTAACTTAAGAAACCACAGCAAGCAACTGTTAAGAGGAGAACTGAGAACACAACAGAGGAGCCAATATTGATTCTGCAGCATCACAGCCGGAGTTTCTCAGTTCTAAGATACTCTAAAAGGATTTGTTGCCACCTTTCAGGAATTCACAGCAAGGTGAAAGTTGAGGCACATGTTAATTTTCTGAAATGGTATCTTCGACATAGAAGTACCCAAATCGACCAGGCTTTTGGCATCTTTTCCTTTGGTATATATTTTGTAATAGACCATCAATGACAATGAAAAAGGAAAGAAACAGTCATTGAGCACCTACCACGTGCCAGGTACTATGTTCTGTGCTTTATATTTATCATCTAATCTTTTGTAATTTTCATCTGCATTTCAGGAAAAAAAGGAAATAAAATGGATAGGTAATGTGCCCCAATTCTTTTTAATAGTGCACAGGACAGAAAATAAAATGCAAGTGTATTTGACTTGTAACTTTTTTTTTTTTTTGACATAAAGACAAACTTTATTGAGCCCCTCATCACTAGTTCTCTTTCTCCTGCACAGTCTTGGTTCCCCGGAGACATTCAGTTCCACCGGCAGCTATGAGACCCACTTTGCGGCCAGCTGAGGCATCTCTGTGGATGGTGGAGGGCATGCCGATGTGATGGTGGTTGCCACCTTCAAATGGATGCTCCACAGGGTTCATGGCCACACCCCGTACCCGTGGCCAGCAGTTCCTCTTTGTCTTATATTTGTGGTAGGCCCGGCCACACTTCAAGATGGGTTTTTCAGTTCGGCCACTCCAGCCACCACACCAACCACAGATCTGTTGGCTGAGGAGATAACCTTCTTGGAGCCAGAGGGCAGCTTCACATGGGTCTTCTTGGTCTCAGGGTTGTGGGAGAAAACGGTGGCATAGTTCCCTGATGCCTGGGCCAGCTTGCCACGGTCTCCAGGCTTCTCCACCAGGCAGCACACGATCGTACCCTCAGGCATGGTGCCCACAGGGAGCGGATTGCCAGTGTTGAGCGGGGCCTTCTTGCTGCAATACACAAACTGGCCCATGTGAATGCTCTCGGGGGCAATGAACAGCTCTGCCCTCTTCTTAAACTGGTAGGGATTCCGGAAGACCACCTTGGCGAGGGGCGCGCCGCGGCTCAGGTCGTGGATGATGTCCTTCACGATGCCCTTGATGTAGCCGTGCCGGCTCGGCAAAATCCACTGCGCGCAGGCACGCGGCGCCCTTACCGTGCTTCACGTGCGCGCAGAACACAGACCCGGCGCCCTTCCTCTGTCCATGGATCACACGGCCCTTGGCGATGAGTCCTGCTCACAAGCGTGGCTGAAAGAGAAAAAAACCGACTTGCAACGTTTTGTATTACCCACACAAATAGATGCTTTTAGAAAATCTGACACAGTACTTTGAAAAAAACTACACCAAAAAAATCAAATCTTAAATTCTTAATTCTTAGTTGCTATAAGGCATTAACTTCTGAATTGTTTATGTTGTGGAAATCCTACCTTTAAGATTTGGGATGTCTTTTTCAAACACAGAAAGAGTGTTGTGATTTGGCAAGCAGCATCTGCTACCACCAGTGAGTCCTAGATTCCATATCACAATTGATCATTGAGGGGCAGACTATTTTCTCATAGAAACAGCTTTGTCATTGGTGGTTGCATTCCTGAGCTACATTCTCAGCACCAAATAAATCAAAGGAAGAAGCAGTGATAAAAACAAACATACGCCTTAGTAATTTTGGATAGCCAAATTGTGTCTTACAGCCTATAAAATGAACCCAATTTTTCAAGAGCTGGTCCCCAGTGTACTCTTATAAATGCTACATATAGCATATACAACATACAAGTCTGGAGTCTCATAAAATGAACCCAAAATTAACATTCTAGCCATAATATATACATATATTAAACATTTAAATTATAATTTTGCTTGCATTTTATAATTTTAGAAGAATTTTAAAAGATAAATTAACCCTAATACTCTAAACTGACTACTAAGTTATCAAGTAGGTTGATCAGGGAAGTGCTATAAATGTAATGTATCTGAATATCCTCAAGATTTTGGAAATAATTTGACAGGAAGATCGCAGTGGAGGAGAGATAAATATGTGTACAACTTGAATGTCAGTAATTATCACTGCAACAAATACTGATTGAGTGTTGTGCATGGTGTTACTCTATCTGCATTACTTTATTTAATCCTCACAAGAAAATTTATGAATAAGGCATTGGTTTTACAATTAGTTTAAGATGAAGAAACTGACAAGAGTTAAATAACTGTCTAAGGACGCACATAGGTAGGAGATTAAAAAGCAAGGATAAAGGCCAAGTTATTGACTGTAAAGTCTTTTCTTCCAAATAATAATGACTCACTTTCCTTTTTTTTTTTTTTTTTTTAGAGACCAAGTCTCCCTATGTTGACCAGGCTGGTCTTGAACTCCTGAGCTCAAGCAATCTTCCCACCTCGACCTCCCAAAGTGCTGGAATTACAGTCATGAGCCACGACGCCCAACATGACTCACTTTCTTGCACACTTCTCTGTGGTAGGTACTACTGTGAGTTCATTACATGTTGAGTCATCTAATCCTTACAAGTCTTGTGAAGTGGGTACTATTATTATCCTCATTTTACAGTTGAAGAAAGAAAGCATAGGTAAGTTCACGTGTAATTAGCAGAGCAATCATTCCTAAAGAGTACTAATTACTGATCAAAAGCAACCAGAGAGAAGGTCTCTAATGCCATGTCACAGTGGTCTGTCTCTGCTATAAGCTTTTCATTCAAAATTTACTTGGCTAAAGACTATGATCTACTGCCCAAATATGAGAAAGCATAAATTTTTGGGGGATAACTAATATGCTGAATGGCAGAATCAGGGTCCAAAAATATCCCAGTGGACTAGATGTAATTGTGAGAGAACTAAATAAAGTCCTAAACAGGTCCAAAAGCCAGTTGCACAGATAGATCAATTGGAGGCTAAAGTGATACATGTAC